TCTTTTATTAGAGCAACTGATAACAGCTGGGAAAACCAGACAGGCTGAGAGGCAGGCATGCCTTTTGCCTTACTGCTCTCTGTCTCTTGGAAACTGATTCCTGCACTCCAGGGTGGAAGACTAGCCATTAGTGCATTTTGGGAATTCTAATTTTGGATCCTCATTAGACTCTCCCTGTTAGTGAGTAACTTTTATAAATGAACAGCACTACCATATGGCTGTATTAGGACCAGGACATAGGATATTGTAGTTAATTCATCTTATTTGAGAGGAATTTAACTCAGGTGCTCTAGTAAAGCTGCATGTTGGAGACATGCATTCAGGTAAACTGTAGAGGGACCTAAAGGCTGCAGGACACTTTGGATTGCCAAGAACTGGCTTCTGGGTTAGAGCACTGACTGCTTCTTTGAAGCAGCGTCAGTGTTTCCACCCATTTTACTTCAGTTTGTTGTCATTCAGGTATTCACTGAATAAATGTGCTTCTGTTGAAAAACAAGTAGCTGAGTAAATAGGTTAAGTGGACAGTTCATGATCTACAATAGACTACATTAACAAAATTTAAATATTGGCACTGAGTCATAGTTATGGTTCGATAAGCCATTTGTCTCAAACTCTAGGTAATTATTAAATAAGCAAAACAAGAATCTGGATCAAGGAAAAGCAGCAGTTTTTAGTATGCTTGCTAGAGCCATTTGAAATATATCTGAATCAAAATAACAAACTTCTCAACACATTTAAAGTAAAATAGAAAGGGAAACCATCCACATGGTTGGTAAGCCCTTGTTTTTGCAGATGTGACTGGTTTTCTCATTTGCAGAATCATATTTGCTGTGAACAAAGGCTTCCTGATTGTCATATCAACTTGACTAGAAAGCTATTCTGCAGCTAGAGAGATATCAAATATTAATATTTGTGCTCATGTAGTCAAAGGTGCATGTATTAGATAGATCTTGAGTCTGGATATAGCTATAGCCTCTTATAAAAACCAAATACAATTTAAAAATTACAGTGATAATAAATCAGTGCAGTGTGTTTTGTCAATAATTGATCCTAGACAAAAATCAGATACATCCTCTGAGCCTAAGATAAAGCCAGATGAACCAGAGACAATTGGGTTTACAAAGGAAGAAAATGTATTCTTACATTTTTTTATTTTTTTTTAAGTTCAGAGTAAGAGGCAGCAGGGGATTTTTTGTGTTAAAGACATATATATACATAGGCGTAGATCGTTCAGTCTGTAATTTAAATACAGGGCTTTACAAGGTACCGTGAGCTGTTGCTTAATGAATGAGTTAAAATAAAGTTATGGTTTGTGTTACAGTGCAGATAGATGATGTTGTCTTGCACTTGGTAATGCATCAGAACAGTTTCTTTTTTCACTTTGGATAAATAATGGTCACGGTGCCTGGAGAACATGGAACAGTGTCTGTCCGTCCTGTAATTACATGGAAGTTCCCCAGTGGGTCTGATACGACCTTAATTTTAATAAGTGGGCCTTATGCTTGGATTCCTTCTCTCAAAATAGGCTGCAACAGCAGGACATGTGTTGATCTTTTATCTTTCAGGCGACACAGGAAGCGGAGGGGAGTTGGCTGCTTGTCAGGAGGTCCTTCCTCCACCTTTCCAGGCAAAAAAGTGCTCAAGCAGCAATATGTAAATCTTGAGTACTCACCTGGTGATCCTTCATTTACCTTTTTGCTTTTATGTACACTGGCCATTAAGGTTTGAAGTTTTGATGATCCCCTGTAAGCTCTGTCTTTTTAAAATGAGATTGTCGCTCTTCCTGTAGTGTAACCATGGAAACAGACAGGGAACCCTTAAAGAAAGTGATCGAACATGCTGTGCTAATTAATCCTACCCTTCCTTTTTTTTTCAGTTGAAGGATGTGGTTAAATAAATTTTGCATGAGTAAGCATATTTAGATGTGAAAAGGGGTATAAAATATGTAGCAAATTTTCTTGCAGAAGGATATCTGAGAAAACCCTGGTAACTGTCATCTATTTGCATCTGGAGCATCAAAACAAGAAATGCAGTATCATATTGGTGTTTCACATATATATTTTCGTAGCATTCTTTTCTATACTGTAAATATATCTGAAAGATGAGAGTATTTTTTCACGTCTCAAGTGCAATGAGAGACATTTGCATTAATTTTGAGTCTTTGAGTGAAAGTGTTTAAAATTGCAAATGCCTTCTTTATACAGAGCATTATTCAGAAAAAGCAAAGGTTGCTTCCTCCCTGAAAGAAAGCAGCTCCTCCAAGGCATTTGCCTAATTCAGGTCCTTTGAGTCCTGCACAGGGGTAGTGACTGACTGAACAGTGGGACTGTGCCAAATTTTCCCCTTCCTAATCTTAGTTTTTGTGTTTCCCTTGGTTGTTCACTCTTGCTTTCTACTGGGCCATATAGTTTCCAAAGGAGTGTATGTGCCCAACTAGGAAACCAATTGGCCACAACTGAAAACATATGGCTTGTACCCATAAGCCTCCCCATAAACCAGCACACCTCTTAAACCTGTGATGATGTCTAATGCCAATGTAGGGCCTCAACTCGCTTTTACAAATGAAGGTTTTGTTTATAAGTTTCTCCTTTCCAGTGATGATCCTCGTATAACCGAGAAACCAGATGCAGCAGCGAACCTCAAGTGAGACTTTCATTGTGTTTTGAGAGTGAAGAATGTATTAAAGAAAAACAATAGGCTGGGATTAGCCCAAAAGGGCCATCCTTTGAAAATCAGATAGATTTTACTTAACCTGGAATGGATTAGAGTTGGAGGAGATCTAGAAGCAAGCAGTATGCTGAGGAAACAGCATGGATGGCATTCCCAGCAGGATGGGAGGACTGGTTCCATGCTGAACAGTCACAGAAGAGGAGGAAAGGTGTGCTTGGGCTGACCATAACACTTGCAAAGCTCTGTCCTGGCCATCAAAGTGGCAGAAACTGGCTGGCCAGCTTGGATATTGTATTATTTGCAGTGTGACTTCTGGTATGGCAAGTTGAGGACTCCTTTCTCTCCACATGGGAGATTTCTGGAATGCGTGAATTATCAGCTTTGTGTTATGGAAATTTGAGTTCATTTTTCATTTTTTGACAGTTTTCCCCAAAACACATGATGTTGCTGACTTCTTAAAAATGCCTTTCCCCTGCCTGCTTATGTCTCTTCTCTTATCAGAGCTAGGTAGAAGATTAGAGAGGAAGTTGTTTGCAACCAATTTCAGTCTTCCTCAAACAAGACTAACAGGGAGGGCTCAGGGAGGCAAAGAAGGATGGAGTCATTCAACATCCAGAATTCTCAAATCCTTTCATAATTTTTATATTGCTTAATACTACTAGGTCCATATCCACAAATTCAGGGAATAGTGTTTCAGTTTAGTCACATGGAATATAGATTCTCAGAAACTCAGGCTTGTTAATAGTTCTGTGTGCTAGGAATAAGAACTGTTCACTAGCAAAAACATTAATCTAGAGGCAGAGGCACTGTGGAGCACATGATGTGACCACTTTGGGGCTGTACCTGGCCAACCTTGGGCTGTGTTTGTGAGACAACTTATTCATCAAGCTGGTGGCCAGGTGCACAAATGTAAAAGAAATGGAGGTCTGAACATTTTTAAAAATGAGTTTTCTTGTTTCAAATGTGATTCTTTAAAGAAGAAATCATGGCATACAATTCAAATTATTCCTCTACAGTGGTCTAACTGCTATAATCAGCTGATAATGCAATCTGCTGGCAGGATTTGCCATCATTACTATGGAGATATATTCACTAACTGTTCTTAAATAGCCTTTCCAGTGTATTAAGAATAAAGGGGCAAAGCATTCTTCATCTGCACTCTTTTGAGAATTCTCATGTTGCTTATTTCTTTCTGAGTGTATGACTTTGTTTCCTTGTTTCTGTAAGGTATAAAACATGACCTTTTGTTTTAGTAATTTCATTTGTTTTGTGAAAGGAAAATCAGTAGTTCAAGAAGACACAAAAAAGCACCCAGTAGTGCATTCTCCTGATTTCCATTACTTGTGCATGTCCAGTGTTCCCAGCAAGGGAGTGGAGGGTCTCAAGGCAGTAGCCAGGAGCCGATAATTTGAAAAGGCATTTGCAGGCCTGTAATGGGAACAGTCACCTCTAGCCCTGAAAATGTTTTTCCATTTTCTGGAGGAGAGCATCTTCTGCAGGAGAAACGTTGTTACAAAAGTGTGCTCTCTACTGCTGATTTTAGCATATGATGATCTCTCTTTTACATGAGGTAGATTATGGTTGTGTAGTAATGTGAATTATTTTAAATGACTGACAAGCTTAAAAGACAATTATTGTAAATAGTATATCTTCAGTAGGCCACAGACTTCACTAAAATGATTTCTGAAATTGGTGCACTGCCAATACACATTCATCGAGAGAGAAGAATTTTTCACATACCATTTTCTGGTGTATTACTACAATATTAATATTTATTTGAATGGTAATGTGTAAGTGTGTCTACAGCTTTCAAACATAAACTTGAATAAGCAAGCTAGGGTTTGCAGTGTAAGCTGTGGAAGGTTTCCTCAGGATTCCCTAAAAAGCCAAATCTCCTCTGTGGCATCATTTGTATGGGAGTTTCCTTATAATTTCCTTTTTCTAAAAAACTCTGAAATCAAAGGATATCGATGCCTGAGGATGAACAGTTAATGACAATTAAAATCTTTATTTATTTGTCTAGGTATACCTGCTTATTTGTTTAGGTATACCACCATGTATCTTTGCATCTCTCCTGGGCCTGTGGTTGTCATTATGAAAAGCATATTTTATTGTCCCTTCTTAATATTCACAGCTCTGTTTAGCCAGGTACCAAATGATAGATGCTACCATGTTTTTTCATTAAGTAACTTACTCCAGTAGTAGAAGAAAAGTACGCTTGCAACATGCCGTCACATTACATGTGCTCAGATATCCTTTTAGGATTGTAACTATACAGCAAACTCTTTCTTTGTTTTGTTTACATTTATTTATTTGTGTTTACCCCACAGGTCTTGCAAGAGCTAAATCAGTCCCCAGTCATACATATTCTAATGAAGTGGTAACCCTATGGTACAGGCCTCCAGATGTCCTTCTGGGATCAACAGAATATTCCACCTGCCTTGACATGTGGTAAGTGTAGATGATGATGATGATGATGTAGATGCTTTAGCTCTTGGGTTTTTTGGGCATGTAAAGCAAATATGTAGTGAGATTAGTGATAGAGGTTAAAAAACTTGTGTGTAGTAATACGTGTGGTTCACCCAGCATATCCCTAAAGGAATCCCCTCCTGCCACCCCACCGATTCGCAGCTGGTACCTGCTGTTGATACGACACTAGAAGACCTATTGGTGCTTTGCAAGACACTGAGTTATTGCTTGACTTTTGTAGTCTTAGTGCAGTATTTTCATGTGATATGACACTTGTTTTGCAGAAGATAAACTTTCACCATGGCCTCCCGTAGCAAGGAGAAAACCTGAATTCTCTGGATGTGACCATATACCCTCAGTTCTTAATCTACTGTATTTGTTAGCAGTAAATCAGTGTGACACATTGCTGAATAGTTTTTTTACAAAGCTACAGATTTTATTTAGACTTGAAGGTTTGGAAGGGCAGTTTGATTTGAGGATTGGCAGTTTGATTGAGGAAGGACTCAAAATTGTACTTCAGCAATCCAGGTTATTATTTTTTTTACTGAGAAAATGACACAAGAATATTGGGGAAAAACACAATAATTACATCTTCTGTGATATCCATAAATGATGTCCTCTTGCACGGAGCATTTCATATAGGCCTAAAAAAAATCCAAGTACTTTGGGACAGAGGTTGTTTGGTCGGTTTCAAATGAAGAATGATGTCCTATTCCTCTTGTACTTGATTTGTAGCCCTTACAATATTTTTGCTGCCCTGTGCAAACTGAAGAACTACGAAAAGCTTAGGAAAAAAGCCCCAGCAATACAGTTTCTTTCACATGGCAGCAATTTGTGTAGAGTCTAAGCTACTGCCACATCAGAAATCAGATTAGGGCAAATGTGTATTGTATTTGACAGAAGAGGTTTAGGTTTTTACTTCTATGCTTTTCTGGGTTATCTGAGACAGCACTTCCAGTTTGATTGTGAGAGGTGTAGTTGCATGTTAAGGTCACTTATGCTTACTTGGCACATTTAATAGTGAGCTCTGCTGGAGCACAGAGAGGCTTGGGGCTGTACTTACACAGTGGTTGTACATAGCTGAGCCATAATTATATTAAAACCACTTGGTGGCTTCCCAGAGTGGGAGGAAGGGAGACACAGAGAAACCTGCCCACCATCAGATTCCAAGATAATCTGGTAATTTGTTATGAAAAGTGTGTTTGTAGCATTAGCATTTTTATGCAATTACTGGCATTATGTCCTTATGGCAGATAGTGTGTGCACTCTTGTGTCATTATTGATGATCTACATGATGACTAAACTAGGAAGCCACTTCACTAAATATTTAAATAATGCTGAGGTAGAAAGCACAGCTGTTTCCTCTATTTAGAGAAAAAAAAAGACACAGGGCCTTTGCTATAGCCATGATAAATAACATTTCATGGTTGTTCCCCAGGAACAGAAAGTGGGGCTCCCACTGAGTAGAAGACCAGCTGCATGAAGAAAGAGTCCAAATATTAACCCCTGGACAGTGGCTGGGAAGCAGGTGGCAGAGGCTGCAGGCTATTTTTACACTTCATTTGCTGGTGTAGAGAATTAGAATAGTAACTAAAAGCTAATGATCCACATGCAATGTTACATTCTCCTGCATTCTTTTTTTTAAATAGCCACTGGCAATAAAATAATATTAATGAAGACGTACATGCGTTAGTGGTGTCAGGCTGCTGATGGAAATCAATGGTGGGCTTTGTGATTTACTGCTGACAGCGTTTGATACAGCGGCATTATGTGACTGTATTATACTACCCATGACTGCATCAAAGAGTTGTGATAACCTTTGATATAGCTTGCTTTTTTTTTTTTTCCCCTCTTGATGAGGACTTACTACTAGCTAGGAAAATGGCTTTGCATTGCCTCTGGTGTAACTTGCCCTAATCCTTGAATTTTACAGTCCTTTGAAAGTCAATGCAAGGAAAATAGGCTTCAACACATAAAGGGTTTAGGGATTACTAAACCCCATACATAAGTAACACAGAAACATAGGGAAAAAAATCCCCAAATGAACCTATTCTATTTGTTCCTTACAGGAAGAGTATAGTATTAGTAAATGAAGCAATTTAAACAGGTTATTATATCCATTTGATTCTGGTAATGCATGTGCTGCTGCTACATCTGGGTTGCTTACATCAAGAAGTCACTAGGGATATTTTATTTTGAAGTGCAGCTGGCTTTAAACTGTGTTTTCTAACAGCTGGCAATTTTTTTGCATATTTCCTTGTTTCACTTTTTTAAAAAATACACTCTTAGTCACAGCACAGGTAACCTAAGCAGTTATGGGCTGGGATATATTTTAAATTCATTTTCATTAACTAACATCAGCTATGTTTATTGCTGCGGAAGAAATAAATTAAACTTAGGCCAGTCAAATGTTACAAAAGTGCTTCTTAAGTCACTGTTATGTAACTTTGTAACATTGGTTTTTCTACATGATTTCAAATCTGATCTTAGTTCGGGGAAACTTCTTCATACGGAATTTTTCTATCGTATTATTAGAAAAATAAATTGTGTTTTTCAAGAACACACCACTTTTCACACATAGGCTGCTATGAGTGTGGGTTTGAGTGCTTACTGTAATTCCATACTTGCTTTCATGAATATTTGACCAATGAAGACCTGCGACAGTAACTAAGATATTCATTACATAAAAATGGATCTTGTCATAGACACAGGTGCACCAAATTATGTTTTTTACACAGGGGATCTTACAAAGGCATCTTTATCCTGTTTCTTCTGTAAACAGTTTGCAGTGGGAGAAATATGAGAGCAGGAGTCCCAGTACGCCCTTAAGAAATACTTCTTGAGGCCTGAGAAAGAAAAGAGCATAAGGGAAATTAGCTCTTTTGCCCTCGATGTTCTTCAGGATTGTGACTTCCACTCCTAAGAAATCCTGATGTGTACGATTATGGTATTAAGGTGATATAGCAATAACTATCAAGCTATTGTTAATTAAACTTCTCTCGCTGTCAGTAAGCTCTTCAAAAGTTGTATAAGCTGAATTAGCTTTTGACTGGAAAATTCTGTAGGATCAAATTCATAGAAATGCTGTTTGGGAGGAAACTGTCTGGGTCTGTAGTTATGGAAAGAGCATTTCAGTTCCTATCTGAAACCTACTTTTATCCTTTGGGAACATCAGATTTACTGTTACTTTTTCACTGCTAGAAACATGTTTCATGTGTGTAAGGAAATTATCTTATAAAGGTATCTGGATGCAAAAAGAAAACCAGAAAGAACGCATTCAACAGGAAAGTATCTCAAGTTGCTCAAGTTTGTGGAGTATTTTCTTGAGGTTATTTTGCACTCTGCTTTTACTGAACAAGTGAGTTCAACAGAAAAATTCTTGCAAAAAGTGATCATGTAGATTTCAATCCTTTGTGAACATAGTATTTCTTAATGTAGAAACTGAGCATTGCTGCAATGCAAAACAAATTTCTGGAACTTTTAATTCTAGGTAGCTCTGTGACACAGGCAAGAACATGAGCACTCTAGTCACTTGTAATTACAATGACTTGAAGTCTGACTGTAAAGAAATACCTTGAGCTATCATGCTTTCAAGTAAATCAGTTTTCATTCATTGCATCTGCTTCCTGCAGAAATTTTAATGGTTTTTGTCATCACAGAAGAGAAATTCTGATTCACTCATTGCTTCTCATGTGAGAACTGCAATCTGTTTGCCGTATTGCTGCTGTATTTTTATCAGACTGTATAGTCCATCATATGTTATTTTTCACTTATCAAAGAGAAATGGTCATGAAAGACAAATTCCAGCCAAATTCAGCATTTGTGGGTATTCTGGCAGTGTGCCACTCTAGAATTAAATCAGATTTTTGTCAGCTAAGGAGACAAAAGTCCCTTGCTTTTCATTCCTGCCTCCCAAAATTTGTTTTCTTAGTTCTGCTTATAAGCAGGATCATATAGGAACATGATTTTTTTTTCTGAATAAATCAGACAAAATAAAAGTCTCTGTATGCTTCCAATATGTTATATATTACTAGGATTTTATGGAAGAGGCTGCAGTACTACATCTTGGTGACAATTATATAAAAAAATAAATCAGGTGGTTTTGGAGTGGGAATGTGTGTGGGCTTTGTGTTTTGTTTTGGTTTGGTTTATTTATTGGTTTTGGTTTTTTAAAATTTTGATATATTCAACAGTACAAACTCCGTGTACTTTGTGAAACTTGAATGAAAACTCAACTGTTCCTTTGAATTTCAGAAACCTCACCAGGGGGATTGCTGAAAGCAGTTACTTGGTTTTCATAAAATGCCTTCCAAATGCTGCACATGGAATGCAGGTTTAATGACCAGATAGAAACAATATGTGAAGATCCAGCACAGGTCTTCACCATGAAGGCCATGCTGAATGTTATCAGCTGTGCTGAGCCTGCTAGAAGGCAGATATGTTCAGGGCAGAAAGTTCAAGAGTTTAAAACATATATAGTAAGAATATAGCGTTTCTATACTCTCAATTCAAGTATAAACTAAAACTTGGGTTGGAAACAGCTCCTCATTTTGGAGTGTGTCTGTAGTCTCTTTCATGGCTCCATCAAGAAAAATCATAATATTAACTGAAGGAAACAACCCTTATAATCTCTTATATATTATGCCTTACCAGAGCTGTTATGCTTTTTTTTACAGTATTCAATTACATATAGGCTGGAAACTCTTGTAGCAATAGGGATCTTTGTTACACAGAGACAGGAATGTGAATTCTTAAGCCAAACATAGAAAACCAACCCACCAGTAAGTTAGTTAATTTTAAAGGAATACCCTCTTTAATTATAAAAGCTTGCAGGAAAAAAAAAAAATAAAAGCAGGTTCCTGAGGCATTCAGCTTCATTTTTACAGGCTCATTTACTATGTCAATTCAAATGCAAGAGTAACTCATTTAGCTGTGCTAGTAATTCTTACTCTGTATGTGACAGCCAGAGTCCAAGGAAATTAAGCAGGACAATAGAAGATCGATATTATATGGTATGGCCACATATGGTCTCATCAATACTTCAATGGGTTTAGTTATGCTTTTTGTCATCAGAGAATAAACCACCCATTTCAACATTAAATGGCTGCCACTTTTACTTTGCAAGGTTATCCTGTGCCATTGCATTGGAAAGATCTATGAACAAATTTGCAGCATTTGGCTTATTTATCCAAACTCAGAAGTCCTATAAAGAGAGTAGGAAAATCTGAACTGAATACACTGAAATATGTTAGGGTAATATTCTTTTGTCAAAAATTATTTTTTAAGTGCTGCATGAAAATATTTTTGTATGCTGAGCGTGCACACATTACACCTAAATAACACAGCCTTGGAGATGGATGCACATCAAAGCCTGTATTTCATATTTCAAGAATTTTTGCATCATCAAAACTAGAGATGGGAGTGATGTGTGAGATCATCTTATCCACCCTACTCTTTATTGCAAGTCTGTTTCCTGAAGAATATTCTGAAGTATTTCAGCTTGTCTAGTTTTACACAACTGTAACTGTGCTTCAAGTCCATTGGGAGGCTGAGGTATAGCACAATTGTTAATTGTATTTCCCTATCACTCACCCTACAATTTTTATTTCCTAAACACATTCTGCTATTTCTGGTTATACTACCTTGGATCTACCTACAGTTCTGGGAACCATTAAAATCCTAATCAGTTGTCCCTGTTCTTCCTTTTGCATAATTTTAAGTACAGAGTCATCACGTTCTCCCTGTCCCTTGGGTTTTCTCGTAGCCAAGAATGACATCATTTTCCTAATTTTTCCTCACAAACCAGCTCTTCTGGCATGAAAATAATTTTTGCTTTGCTCAAAAATATCTCTAACCTGTTTAAAAGTCTGTGAGGTCTACAAAAACAAGACAAAATTTCAAGGCCTTGTAGATGCTTTATCTCTTTTCTCATTTAAAGTGTGTGCCCTTATGGTTTGTGATGCAGGGATCCTACTATAGACTCAAGTTTCTACTTACTGTGAGCCTGAAATTCACAGATACCACTGGGACATCAAAAATGCCATCCAGCCATCTTGAAGCCTTCATGTTCTCTAATGGCTTTCTGGGTATTTCCTATCCATTTCCTAGTTCAATGACCTACTTTTTTTGTATTATTATTATTATATTTTTTTGTTTCTATTCATTTAAGCATCCCTTTCTGTTGGCTTATTCGTCAAAGTGCCAAACACTTATCCTTTGAAACCAAGGATAAGTTTAACTTTCAAGTGGGCTGAAGGGAACAGCAGTCTTCCAGCTCAAATCTTGAATGTTTGTGTTTCTCTCCTGAATGATTTTAATAACCTTTGGATTTTTGTATTAGGGTTTATTTAACTGCAGTACCCTTTCATAAATGATATACTAGGTTGCACAAGAGTCCAAAACACATAATAGGATTCTTCTTTCCAAGCAGGAAATTTTTCTTCAGTGTTTTTTGCAGTTCTTACTTGGTTTTTGGCTCATACTTGTATCAGAACCACTAAAAGTGGAAAAATTTATAAATAATGTAAAACAATACAAAATTTGGCAAAATCTTCCTGCTGCCTTTATAGCATTTCTGTTCAAACAGCTAGATGAAGATTCTCTGTGCTCTCAAATGATACACTGGTTTAATCAAAAGCCTGTTTTCTGGTTGCAAGAATAGAACTCTAATCCTCTTTTCTTTGGTCTAAATTCAATTGTTTTATTGCTCATCTTGAATAAATGGCTTCTGGCTGAAATCTTGAATTTTTCCTTGCCTGAGATGCTGATCATGTTTGTAAGTATTTGACTAAGATATATTGTGCCTATCTGTGCCTAATGAAGCACTAACCAGACTAAATGATGAATGGCAGTTTAATCAATTCAGTTCATTTGGTAACCAGCAGAAGCATATGGAACATAAATTTTAACCTCTCTTTTGTAAAAACCTAATTTATTCTAAAATTTGACCACAACTGTGCTTTTCAAAGTTTTCTTCTACTTATCAATGCCTGAAGAGAAACTTTACTTAATATAGCTCTGCCTTGGGGATGTAGAATTAGAAAATAGTGATTTATATTTCATTTTCTTCTTCAAGAAATTTGACTACCAACTCTCATTGTCCTAGAATGTAAAATTATTTCATTGGTTGGTACTAGTCAAAGCCTTCAGAAATGGATAAAGCATGGGTAATCTGCTGATAATCTTAGTTCAGTGGCATCTGTAAATGCTCAACCCCAGCCTTAATGAAAATATGCAATTTGTTTTCGTTAAGTTGTTCTAGAACCACTTCCTCATCAATATATGTACACATATTCCTAAAAGTAAATGCGGCTTTCTGAATCCATCATCATGATGCCTAAGCAATGAAAAGGTATGTAATTAGTACATTCCAAATAATTTACTTCTAAAACCAAAGTTAAGTTAGAGGTTATGGCTGTGACTTTCTGACACAGAAACACAACTTTCAGTTTTAGGGCGGGTGGTACCATAGTTAGTTTCACAAATTCTTAGTTCATTTTGATATATGGTTTAGGGGTCTGAACTTGTTATTGTTTTGAATGAAGAGGGGTTTTGGGTGGTTGCTTACACAGACATGGTACAGTATATGTAGTTGTTTGCACATGGAAGTTGTAGAAAAATATATGCAGAAAAATGTAATTGAACAAGCTAAAGTATATAATCAAATTCTCCATCATGTTGGTAGCTAAGAGAGATGTTTTCTCTTAAGATTATTTTTGCTGAGGGAACAAGAAACTCTTGAGCTGTTTTCATCCAGAAAAGATGCAAATGTTTATAATTTGTTTTCCTTTTGAGATGCAGGAAGTTCACAGGTTATCTGGAATTTGAGTTAGAGTCATAGAAGCTCTCCTCCACGTTAGAGAATCTATTCTTTTGTGCTCTAGTTAGTGTGTCTCAGACACTTTTTCCCTCTGATTTCCCAGTACTTCTACCACTGACTTAACTCAGTGGGATGACAGAAACTTGTGTGAAGTACTTTTTGTGACAAACCAAGTACAGGACCTGTAAGGAGATGGCTGTCATGGCAGAGAGAGGAGGGAGTCCGTGTCTTCTCAGCCCATTGCAGCACCTCTCAACCAGAGGTTGTGGGGAATGGGGTCAGCAGCCTCCCAGAGCTATGGGCTTTGAACTACTTTTGTTTGTGCTGTCAGAGGGGAGAAGAAAGTCCAAGCAAGCCCATCCCTGAAGTTATCAGCATTTGGGCTTAACTTAGTTCCGTGATTGAGCAGCCACATGCCCTTTTCCTTTTTGCTCACTTTTTCCAGATTCTCCTCCTATGCCAAGCCCTTCCAGTGTGCTTCCTTGTCATTATCCTGTCCCCATTCAGCTTCTTCCAAGAGTGCACTCTCACACATCTTCAGAAATAATTTGGGAGCATGACTGTGCTGCTGGGAAGTACTAATATGGAGATCAACAGCTGTGCCTTTATTGGTCTCAACACCTGTGAATCAGATTCCTGCTACCTCTACACTTGCCTTCAAACACCTGAGAAGTGTTCATTTGTATTCACTGGTTTTATTAAATGCAGGTTTGTCCTTCAGCCTGCCATCAATTAAAAAAACTATATATTATTTAAATGCTGGTAAAGGATGCAAAAGTGCTGTTGCTAGCTACTTGGTCTATAAGAAATCTTTCTAACATTGCATACTTCTTTTTTTTCTTCTGTAGGGGAGTGGGTTGTATCTTTGTAGAAATGATTCAAGGGGTCGCTGCTTTTCCGGGAATGAAAGACATTCAGGATCAACTTGAAAGGATATTTCTGGTGAGTTCTTTATTGCTGAAGTAATGTGCCTAAGAAATGAAACAAATTATAGATTCATAAATGTTCGCATATTTCTTTGTATCAGGAATTAAATTATGAATAGACCCAAGGATCAGAAGCCTAGTTCACAAACTTGCTTGACATATTTTGTGTTAAAGTTCAGTTTCTAATTTTTTTTAATCAATATTTAAAAAAAAAAAAAAAAAGGTTTTTATGCAATTGTGGGAAAAGTTTTCTAAATGTAAGCTAGTGGAAATCCAGCTGGTTTGTCATCCTCACTTTGCAAGTTATCAGAAACAACAACTCTGGATGGTGGTTTATTAATATTCTACTAATATTGTAGTGTCAATGGAAAGTATTTGTTGTGAGATAGATATATGAAGGAAAAATAAGGTAGGAGACAAAATGAGAAACGGAAAGGGAAATCTGAAATTACACTGTAAAAGTTCAGCAGGAGTCCTTGACTACTGCTTCTGCAGTAGTAAATGGCTCTGGCTGGGCCATTAATAAGGTATGTGGGTTGCTCATAGGCACTGATAATACATCCACATTAGGAGTGAAAGAAGAACTAATTTGTCTCAACCGTAGTCATCACTTACACATTTTTCTTCCCAGGGTTGTGGATTTTGGGTTTTGTTTGTTTTCTTGGGGTTTTATTTTCATTTGCTCTTTCTTCCATTGGCAATTCCCTTACAAAAGGCTCAGGAATAACTTTTCTTGACTCCTTGTCAAGGTCTGTATTTACTCCAGTGCCTCCTGGGAGCATTGCTGTTGTGGAATGAGTTTATTCAGGGAAGCCACTTCTCACCCAGATGAGCCAGAGTGGCTCCTGGTACTGTGGGGTGGCCATCAGGGAAAATATTGCAAGAGCAGCATCTTCCCTCAACATGGTAATCTCTGGATTGCTTCTAACCACAAATTTAGAAAAGAATCATACCGTTGCTTTCAAAGGTGATTTTGTAAGTAGTCATTTATTTTAAGTGCAGAGGATTTATTTGGTATTCATTTTTGGCCCACGGGGAGATAAAGAAAGTCTTTCATAATCTGTTTAAAAAATTTACATTTTCATTTTATTCAAACTTGCTTGTATTATATCTCTTTTGTTGGGACATCAGGGAATTTAGCAACTGCTTTTTTGAATGACTCATAAAAAGTACTTCTCTAAAACAAGACCTTATTTGATTGTGATATAAAAATAACTAATTTTCTGTAAAATCTTCTGTTATTCTGCCCTCTTGGCTAATACCCTGAAAATTCTGTGCTATGGAAAAATGGCTGTGCTACAACATAGACCGGGAGCAGCACTTCTGAGAAGTTCCTGTGATGTGTCTCATTGCTTTGTTTGTTTGCCAGCTGGTGTATTTTAAGCTTAGGAACTTCTGAGCCAGTTTCCATCTTTTGCTTTCTTAACTTATGCTTCTCATTTATTCATCTGAAATTTTCTCCTTATTTATAGAATGTGAAATTTTGTAACTAATAAATTCCTCTTTGGGACTTCATCTCATTTGTTGCGGTAAAATCTCAGTGACTGTTTTTGCTGTGGAAATTAAGGGCACTTCTAACAGCAGAAATCCCTTCCTTCAACAGGGCCTTTTTTTGCACTGTATTATATGAGATTGCATGATACAGTGCAGAAAAGTGATAGTAATAGATATATCATATAAACCTATTTTTGTAAGCCTTTTGTAAACCTTTCGTATATTTCCATTTTCTTCTCTCTCCTCACAATTATTTGTGTGTTAAAATGCCAAGATAAATATAATCTAGGATGCGTTTTGAGGCCTGCCATTTTTTAAAATTCTGTTTTAAAACTGCAGCTGCAAATACTGAGAACAGTGCTGAAATAACAAGGGATAATTTATTGATAATGTTTCTTTAATTTGATCTGTTGCAAACCTTCAAATAAATAGATAAAATTTTGGACTGGATAGTTTTATGGTCCATTGCAAATCAGAGTTAATTTTTAAATCCCAATTAATTAGGCTTTCTAATGGAAGTGTCTAGTTACCCTTAGCTAAATAGTTTCAGTGAGTGCCTTCCTAATGTACTCTAAGCATCATTAAGAATTTAAGTTATCTATTAAAAGTTATAAAACAAAGGATTATTCTTGTTTGGTTTTGTATTTGAACAGAAGGATTAAATTCATTAATTCCCCGATGAATTATGTATAGTGTGGTAGTTAATAGCACTGAAGTACAAAATTAATCAGGTTATTTTACCAGATAACTAATACAATTAACTCCCACACAGTGAGTACTTACACAACTGGGAAAGAAACAGATCAACCAGTAAAGGACTTTTCCACAAAGTCTTCCCATAGTTCATGTTTTCAACATTCTCCAGTATTGGTTTTCTTAAAACAGAGGGTTGTCTTCTAAAAATGGCGTAAGGTACAGTGCACCTTCACACTAATCCAGTAATCCTTTTCTTCTTCTGAAATACACAACTTGCAACAAAAGGTATATTAATCTGTGTCATATCTGTTGCTAATTGTTATTAGTCACAGCTACATGTCCATAGTATGTAAGATGTCAGGTTGCTGCTGGAGGCTTTTAGGGAAGTGGTTGTACTGTAGTAGGAAAGTCACAAAATGCTAAGAAATAGTAGCAAGGAAAAGTAAATAAGCTTAACGTGAATAACAGTTAAAAAATCTGTTTGATTTCCTACTGTATAGTGCCCATTATTATGTAAATGAAATTAAAATACATTGTGTGTATGCTGTTTTAGCAATTATGAAGTCAGAGAGAGTCTCTAAATGTTTTTGTGTATCTCTGCCCCTGGCCTTCTTCACATATCTACATAGCAAAAGTAGATGCAACCCAGCATACCATATATGTTTCTTCCTCATTCTGATTGATGTTTATTTATGTTTCATAATGTCTTTATTAAGTGATTGTATATAATATATTAAGAACAGAGGTTGATCTTTCAGTTTTGTTTAAGGACTTTTCTCTTTAAACTTGTCTCTCCTGACTTCTATTGTTTCAATTTCTGGGGTTTTAAATGATAATATACACTGATTATTTCTGTTACAGCAGCTGTTTATAGAAAGCATTCTCAGGTTCCATTACAGCCATAGGTCTCAATAAAATAGCAAGGGTTTATATACAAGATCTGTTCTCAGAATTGGAGCAGCACATAGAGATGTTCATGAATAAGCAGGCTGCAAGTTTTTATTGTCATACTTGGGATCTGATAATATGAATTCTTTTCTCCGCCTATACTTCAAAGTGTTGATAACCTCTTTTAAGAAAACTGTACTTATCAAATAAAATGGGAATCACACATATAAGTAGGTTGCTTTCTCAAAGAAGTTTAGTGGGGAATTAAATGCCTTAATGCAGAGATGTTTTGGTTTATCAGTGTACTTTTACATCTTTACTCCTGCTTTTTTCCTACATATTGAAACTGAGGTTACTTTCTGGATAGAAATGCATCATAGAAAATGAGAGAGTAAAGTGTAAAATCATAAAATTAAATCATAAAATCATAAAGGTTGGAAAAGACCTCCAAGATCAATGAGTCCATCCTTTGACTGAACACCACCTTGTCACCTAAACAATAGCATTAAATGCCATGTCCAGTTGTTTCCTGAACACTTCCAGGGATGGTGATTCCACCACCTCCCTGGGCAGACAGTTTCAAAGCCTGACAACCCTTTCAGTGAAGAAATTCTTCCTGATGTCCAACCTGAACATCCCCTGGCATAGCTTGAGGCCATTTCCTCTTGTTCTGTGGCTAGTTGTTGTAATTACAGCCTGTAAGAGCTAACGAGTCTTTTGCCTCTAAGTATCATACTAATGATGTATCATCATCATTTCCAGCAAACTCTTTGCTTTGCCATTCTCTGAGACAAGCAGCTTGAGGTTTTGTTGCAAGGTGCTAAGTCTGATGGACTGATAATAGGATGCAGCAGTCTCAGCATTTCTGTTTAGTCTTGTAATATGTACACAAGACAAGAATGAAGCTTCAATGATCAAGTACACGTTGAGCAGTTAAACCATGAGAACAGGAAAAATATGTGAGGCAATCTGTTGAATCAAAATAATACTACAGAAAATTGGGAAATAGCATTTGGCTTCTGATATGGAATAGCTAAGATCTTTATCAGTAGTTTATTTCTGTTGATCATTTTTTAGCATACTCTATATGCAACCTTTGAAGTTTTCTGATCAAGGAGAACCTGCCATTGTAAATATAAAATTTAATTATGTCTTGAAGTAAAAGCTGCACCAAATGCCTTCAAGTTAGCCGTGTACTGGGGAGAATTGACAGCTCCTTGGATCTGGTGATGATCAGTATGAATTAGTTGAGTGTTAAAGGTGATTACACTGAGCAGCCTGCAGTATGCCTGTGCATGCCTTATGCTGAACCACACTGGACGTAGCAACTTGGTTACAGCTCTCATTCTTATATAAGGATGTATTTTTATACTTGCTGTTCTTAAAGATTCAAACCAGATCAGAGTTGAATTTCTTATGTTAGCTCAATTTTTCTTCTGCAGAGATTTTTTTTTAAGTGAGAGATATTTCTGTCTTTTCCATTTTATGTGAGCTTTCTGAGAGCCGCTATAGATCAAAGTGAATTTTCCTCCCAGGCTCTGACGCCTTCCCGATAAGGGAATAATCTGTGCATTGGCTGAACTTTAGTCTTGGTGCCAACTACACTGCAAATTAGATTTCACTGCAAGAATAATGCACAAAGAGTTCTGATACTTTGTAGACCTCTGCACAGGCAGGACAATGGCATTTAGATGCTGTTTTATCTGTAAATGGGCATTCACTCTGCAAACATCATTCCGGGAAGCATGCGCACCGCGGGAGCATCACGCTGCAGGTAACATGTCACAGCAGGAGTGGAAATTTGCAGCCAGAAGCTTCTGTCTTTCCTGAGGTGCCTATCAAACAAGCTGAGGACTCCTTTCTGGTATTGGATGCTATTGCTCTGTTGGGTACCATAACACACAGTATTAAAAAGTAATTAAAAGAGAACAATATCCA